GAATACACAAAAATCACGTTTTAACGATTTGTTGCTGAAAATAAAATCTTATGTCAGTACATTAAACTGAGTCTTCTGTAGTTAGGTAAGATCTCATCATCTTGTTACATAACCTTAAGAATTACCAAATGTTCACATTTTCACTTTTTACACCTATCGATCTAACAAAAAATTCAAAGCCTCTGTCCTCCCTAAACGTGGAGTTCAGTCAGAGGAATAACTTTGACATGTTCTAAGTTCAAGAAAAAACAGCCTTCCTTAGCCCAGCACTTTAGCACATGAATGTTTCAAGGAGYCACTCATTTCCAACTCTCAAAATGCTATACACTGATTTTTTTATGTATTTTACTTGATATCAACACATGTGCAGCCTAAAGAAGTTTCAGCTCAGGCAGAAAAGTTAAGTTTCTCAAAAATCACCTCCTGTTAAGCTTGTCTTAAAATAAATTACCTTGTCTAATCCAGCTAATTCATTTTTTAGTGCTCTCTTTTCTGCAGACAACTTTCCATTTTCTTTCTTCAGCTTTTTAATCTCCTTCAACAATAGCTCTATATTCAAATGAAAAAATGTAGRGTTCAACCATTACAGTCAACCTCCCCCTCATATGACTCATACTACAGCTAGAGAGCTGCCTACCTTTTGTGATATTAGAAAATTATGGTTCAGCTTCCTAAAGTACCTCTTTCAGATAGAAGTTTATTCTTAAGAACTCGCCCCACACATTCTCTGGTAGTATGAAAGGTAACAGGACCTGCCAACTGGATAATCTGAATCTGCCAGATTCCTAGAATGTGGGATTATTTTAYTTTACAAGCCACAAAACACACATCACATGCCTTGATTACCTGGTTCTGAACTTATGAGAGGGTCACATCAGCACTTGCTGACAGCACATTTCCTGAACATTATGCCTACATTATATGATCTCATCCATCTCTTTTCTATGCTTTGAAGCAGAAGATTGCGCCTTAAATTCTTCAATCACTTATGTGAGGAAGAATGTGCTGAAACCAACACTGCCCAGGTTTGTCCAGTGTTTTAAGGCTAAAACCAGGTTATTTTGTGTTTCAGTGCCTGAAAACCAAATGATGCAGCAAACATTATTACTAWGAGATCTGCATAGATACATCTTACTAGAATAAATACCAGCACTAAAGACAGCCACTCACTCCCACCCRTGATTACACCAATGGACCAGTTTCAGGAAAAGACAAAACTGCAAACATTTYATCACAAACAAATGCAAGGCTGAATCCTAGACTACAAAATGCCATTTTTACATAACAGGTTTTCAAAAATGAAAAGAAAAACGTTTTAGATACTGCTGGTTGAAGTACAAGAAATAGCCTGGAGTGACCTCTAGATCAGAAATTAAATGCATTCTCTCTGCTGGGCACAGTGGAAGGAACACCATCAGAATTAACTGTACCATTACCTACATATCTACTGCAACAGGAATCCTTTTCAGAAATGTCCCTGTGAGAAGTTACTCCTCCCTCTGGGGTTCGACTTCTTTTTCCAGAAACAGSACTAGTTTTCCAAGAAACCTTTTTACATTCCAGTTGCTCAATTCTTTGCCTCTGCTCTTGAAGATTATGCTCTAGCTCATGAATTTTAGTCTGTCAAGACAAATTTTTTTAAATGCATAGAAAAAACACAGTTCAACTGAATACAATTGGAAACACATCCCAAATACCCAGAGCTTTCAATTGCTCACTTAAAAACTGCATTCACACAAAGGGTCTAAAAGGAGAAAAAAAACCCAAAGCACAAATGAAGAAATTGGACTCATCAGCTGCAATGCTCAATCAGTGCCTAAAGAGGGAATACCCTCTTGAAGCTTCTAGAACTGCTCCTGGCCACACAACCCTACCTTCACTTCAGTTATAATGCCCTCTCTTTGCAGAGCAAACTCACAGACCTTGCTACCCAAAAGAAGACCCTTTGCCTTCATTTGTTTTGTTTACTGCTGGATTTCTGTGAGAAATCAGCTCATGACACATGCAGAACAATACCAGGGCTGGTGAAAGAGTGCTCACAAGGTGCATATACAAGTGAAAGGACAGGTAGGTGGATGAGTAAAGGACTGTTTCCCCTGCAGACACAGCAGAAACAGAGTTCACTTTTAAAGGGCACTACAGGCTACCCTCCATTATCTCTGTCACAGGAAACAAAGTATAAAAAGAAAAGCATGGTCTCACTTCACATGTGTAAGAATTACTTTTTAGTCTCTCTAAAAGCTTATATTTGGCTGTTTGATACCACCTCCTACAAATTCTACTTACAGTGAGATTTTTAATTGCTTCCCTTTGCGCCTTGTTTGTTTTGGATTCTTTAACATAACATTTCTGTAGCTCATTATACATCTGAAGTAGTCTAAAACAGAAGAAATGCATAAATTGCTGTAAAATTCAAAAGAMAACAWAATATGCMTTCTTTACGGTAAAAGTATTAGAGATGTCCCACAGRGATCACTTGGGCTGTAGCTTGGGCTGCTGCAGAGAATCGTAACAAATAYTCAAGATGGAAGTGAATGAAATGTGACTGTCAACACAGAAAGTACCAGAAAACAACAGCAAAGGAAGTTAAAAGAATGGTCTGTACAGATGGCAAAGAATCCTTTTTACTCAGCCAGACTGAGGACTCCATTGTTTTTGTCCAGCACACAAGGCCACACTCCAATTAAACCTCAGTGCATATCACTCTTAGATGGAAGACCTATACACCAGCACCTGGAGGCTGGCAGTGATTTTGCAGTGTCTCAATCCATTATTTCTCTCCCCATTATCACAACAGGAATAGCAAAACAACATTCCTAAAGGATTTTGAAAAGTTTGTCCAGAATCTAATTTCTCACCACTGATCAAGAACCTACAATGAGGACATGAGGCAGTTCCCAGCTCTCTGTGCTGCACAAAACATCTCATTGCTTCCAAGTGTGTGGGTGTGAGGATACAAGTGAATGAAATCTGTGTGAAAACGAGTGGGTAAAATAAATGGCAAATAAACAGATTAGGGGTGTTATCTGCCCCTCTGGTATTATCTTGCATCGAGTTCTGCTGTACTAATTTCCTACCATTTTTGATAGCATTCAGCCAATGAATATATGGGCMATATAAGAGGCCCACAATGTAACTGATGGACACAAGCAGACATTTTTCCTACTTTTTCAGGAATTTCCATAAGAGCTGCCCTTTCATACTAAGTCATGACTGCACACCACAAGCAGGATGAGCAMTACTGTAGCACAGCACAGCTTTGTAAAAGAACATACAAACAGATGTTAGGACAAAAAGCTAGGTCAGGTTATCTATGTGCAATCTAACAYGAGGCAGGTACAGCACTCAATTTAAATACTAACTTGGACTTCTTCTACATGAGCATCTAACTAGGAGCTTAATTCCAGCCCAGAGCCAGTTACTCAACCTTCCTCTGTAGTTAGGCAGCTGCAAAGAGAATCTAAGACAGTGTAAAAGTATTAAAAGTAAAAAAAAAAAAAAATATTAAAATGGGTCTTCTACAGCCAGCTAAAGGAAACACTAAAAACAGGGCAATTGGTCAAAGAGCAACATAGATGTGTGTTAGATCCACAGCCCATTTATGTAACTGGACAAAAAGTAGCCTTTGAAGGCATAGAGCAGCCTGTTTATTTGACAATTTTACAAGCAAATCATAGAGCAATGGAACAACGTAATTTACCTAGTTGTTAAAATGTTTCAGTATATTTTTGCTCRAAGACAAAATTATAGCTTTTGCACCAGAAAAAGTTACAAGAGTTTAATTCTATCATTAACTGGCAAACCACAGTAAGTAGTGGCTCAACTCTAAAATTAATAGATTGAAAAGTAAAATTGTTTGTCTAGTTCATTTCAAAGAGACTACCAGCCTATAAATTTTATATGTACATAACATTGAGCAATATAAAATGAGCTGAGAAAGGTTCCACAAAATAGAAGATGAAACCTCAAAATTCTAAATTAAAAAAATCTACAAGCACATGAAGGAGGTTCCTGGCTCATCCAATTTTTCTCAATTAAATACTTGAGAAAGAAATCTATTCTGTTCTTTGTCCAATGCTATTTTCAAGATTAATCCAAGATTTTGTAGTTATTTTTAAAATGTGAATGATTTCACATTGTTTCAAAGGCTGAAAACCACTTGCATAATAGCTAGCAAAAGAATCAACTGACTTAACCATTAACATTTTCTACACTACAGAGAAAAATAATTCTGTGAAGAAGCAACTTCCAAGAACTCACCTGACACTGTCACCTTCTAGAGCAAGATCCTTGCTGTCTCCACCCTTTTTCCATAAATGGGTTTCTGTTTGAACCTGAACACTTAATTGAACCAAACACAACACCTTAATAAAATCACATTTTACAAATTTAATTGGATCAAACAAAGCAACCGAAATAGGCCAAGTTACTTTTCAGTTTGATTCTATAGTAGAGTTTTCCAGGCAGGATCACAAACACACCAAAACCTAGACTTGACAAGATTTTTGCAAACTGTTATGTAAACCCCAGCAGGGCACCCTCCACACCACTAACGCTACAGTTTTTCAGGTCCTAAGGTCTCAATTTCTAAATCTTTTAAACAGCACTGATGCGACTCAACATAGCATTATTTTACTACTTTTTGGTGGAAAAATAGTGTAAAAGTCCTTGCAGTTCGACAGAGAAAGCGGATTGGCTAAGCAGTATTTTTTTTATATGAAAACAGTTTCTTTCACTATAATAAATTTTGTACAAGATGCCCCAGACAAACTTTGCTCCTATACAGGCCACCAGCCTTTTCCACCCCACCATCCTGTTCACAGATGGCTCCTTAAAAYATATAGACCAGGTAATACCGAATTCATCTTAAGAATATGAAAATAAAAGTCCTGAAACRATGCACTTCTTTTGATGTAAAAAAGAAACATTTGAAAAATCTTACTCTCTGCTTGTGCCACAGACAGGCATTAACTGCTGCAGATGCAGTTTTTCTTCAATCTGACCCAGAYTCTTTTCTAGCTCCTTATTTTTTATGTGTAGTTTTTTCACCTTCTTGACTAACTGCTCATTTTCATCACTGAGCTGAAAAGGAAGAGAATTGAAAAACGAAAATCAAGGAACGCTTTCCAATCAAATATTAAGTTGACAGTACTTCATATAAAACCCTCTCCCAAAAGCGTTACTACATTTATGCTATACCATAGAAACATCTGAAAGGAAAATGGCAAGAAAAACAACTGGCTTCAAATTTTACGAACATTTGACTACAACAAAGCTTCTTTAACAGATATTAAAGATATTTAATATTACATATTAAAGCTATCTGTAATTTCATATTTCATAAACTTCATARTTCATTAAGGAACGTAGGGAACTGGCTTTGCGTTTAAAATTAATCACAGAGGGACAAAGCATCTAAGTTTTCAGTTATACTTCTAAACATCAGCTCTGCAACCAAGATGCAAGCTGATGCTTATTTTTGATTCAATCTCACCAGAGAGAAAATGACACACACCAGCAGAACTTTTTGCATGGATGTCCAACAGTATGAATTTATATATATATATATATATATATATATATATATAACCCCACAGATTTATTGTAATACATGAATATATAACACTATAATTCAATATATTATAATACCTATAATGAATACTGTTTATAGTATATATATTTATACTTATCTATATCACGTATACACACTAGATATTGAATGTGTATATACATATCAATCACATATATGCGTATATATATATATATTTATATATATAAAACTAATTATATATATATATATATATATATATATATATACACACACAAATACATATATATAAAACGATGTTTCCTTAGCCTCAGGGTATGAGCACACGCGAAGCTCTGGGCCCGCACATGGAAGGCCGGCACGGAGCCCGCGTTGCGCTCTCGGCCCGAGCTCGCCCCCGAAGGTTAACCGGCACAGCCCAGCCTCCCGCGCCTTCGGGGCGCTCCTGGGCTGCCGGGAGCCGGGGCCGCACTCACTTGGAGGCACCTGTGTATGACGGGCAGGGCCATGGCGAGCGCCGGGAGAGCGGGCGGGACGGGCCGGGATGGGCCCCGGGAGAGGCCGCGAGCAGGGACGTCATAACCGAGCGACCGCCGCGCTGTGGGTGCCGCCGCCATCCCCGGCAATGTCGCTTTTTCCCTCCCCGGTCCGGCCGTGCGGGCTCCGGGACCGCCTGTACCTGGGCCGTGAGCCTCAGCCTCCGCAGCCGCCGAAACAATACCCCAGTGCCTTCTAAACTGTCATTAGTTTTATTCACAGGTTCACTCGGTGTGTGACTCTGAGGGTGTCCTGCGCAGGGCCAGGAGTTGGACGCGATGACCCTGATGGGTCCCTTCCATCTCAGAATACCCTGTGGTTCTGTGGTTTTCTGTGACGAAAAGGTACCGATTTTGGGGGGAGGGGGATTGAGAGCTCTGCCGGCCGCAGATTGCCAAGAGGCAACGGGCAGAAACTGACCCACAGGACATTCCACCTGGATCTTAGAACTTTACTCTGCGGGTGACCACGCACTGGAACAGATTGCCCAGAGAAGTTGTGCAGTCTCCCTCACGGGAGATATTCAAGAACCATCTGGATGCAGTCCTGTGCAATGTGCTCTAGGATGACCCTGCTTGGGCAGGGAGGTTGGATCAGGTAGCTCACTGTGGTCCCTTCCAACCCGACCCARTCTGTGATTCTGTGGTTTGGTTTTATTTTTCTGGTGTTTTTGGCAGACCAGGCTGCAGAGCTTACTGGCAGGACAAAAGCGTTTCACTCTCAGAATTGGACCTTACAGACACCAAACCAACAACAGGCACTCACCAGCCACAGGAAGACCAGCTATCACAGCAACACAGACCAAAGCAGTGATTACTACCTGCTGGTCTTCCAAGCCTTTGTTATTGGCAGTTTAAAACCTTTCCTGTTCCTGTCTCATTTGCTAGGTCTGAAATCTAGGTCCTCTCTTGTTCTCTGCATCTCCTGTCTTTGTACAAAATCTTGCCTCACTCATT